TATATATATATATATATATATATATATATATATATATATATATATATATATGTGTGTGTGTGCATGAACTGAGTTTGTCGTCTAGTGAGTTTCGTTACACGTTAAAAAAAGACTGCAAAATAACACAAAAAGAAGAAGAAGATAAAACAACGTCTTCACGTGGACGGTAGGGGCTTGCATGCACATGTCCTGCACCATTATTATAAAAAACAATAGTGTTCAGTGGGTCTTGTGAGTTACTAAGATATGGTCTCTCGGCCCAACAAGTGTTTTCCCAACACCCACGAATCTCCAACAATTATTTTTCTGCTTAATAATTAATTGTAATTATATCATGTGCCTCGTGATCCTACATTTCGCCCGTATCCTCCTAATTTAATTTTTGTATTCATATATATCGAATTTGGTTATGCAACGGTGGTTTTGACTTTGCATCATGTTCATATGTACAAGAATTCCCTGCATAAGCTGTAGTCAATGGATTCGATTCGAATAGTTATCAGATTTTTTTTTTGGTTTAATAATAGTTATCAGATATTACTATTACATATAACTAATCGTGTTATTTAAATAATTCAATCACTTTCTATTATGCTAACTAAATTATTCTAATACAGTTCGACGAATCTAGCAAATCAATCGGCGCATTCCTTTAATGAATTGACTAAACATAGATGATATATAATTATTTTTTCCTCAATATTTTTCTGAAGATCCCCTTTTTATAATATAAATAATTTGGTGTGTATATATCTAATTATACTAAAGATAATTTTAATTATTTAAACAGATATATATATAATTAATTAAAATTTAGTTTGATTTGGAGTTGTCCTCGTAAAAAACCAAATTAGCACCTTCTATTTTTCATATCCTAATATTAATATCCGATAATTAACACGTATATATACAATAGTGTGTGTATATATATATAAAAACAATGTTATATATGTCATGGTTTTGGATTGGCGTGGGGGTTGGGTGGGTGGACAGACGGAACACTCGTCCTCGGTGAACACATCTGTTGATAACATGCGCACATACATTATATAAATTACAACACTACAAAGCCATGATCTGTCCATGCATCTATATATATATATATATATATATTCATTGTAAATTATGCGTGTGTTATTATAAATATAAAATAGAGATTATTTAAAAAAGAGTGGAGCATTTGTGAAACCCACAAGCCTCACTTGAACACTTAATTGATAATATGAGCTGAATCATTCCTCAATTGTATATAGCTCACTTTTAGACGTTTAGTTGGTTCAATCATATATTATAATATAGAATGGTGAAAAAAAAAACTACGCCCATTTTGTTCTATCATATAATACAATTTTTAAAATTACTTAACCTTTGATATCTGACAGATTAAAATTATAAAATTACTGCAGGTATTCAGGTACGGTATTAAAGTCAGAAACCTTAAAACAAATGGGAAGAAAATAATCATCCAAATAAATTTAATATATGGTACGTTTGTGATTTATCAAACTATAAAACTTTAAGCAAATAAGAACAAAATGATTAATTCGAAGAAAAAAAAACATTCAACCTCTGTACAAAGGAGACCGTTGGTGAAACACCACCTTGGTCACTCTAGCTCGTCGGAAAACCTTGATCGGGCTCGGAAAGTACCAGCCTTTCCCCTTTCCCGCCATCTCCGCCGAGAATCTTGATTCTCCGGCGTCGGAAACTGTCAGGGATCTAGATTTCCTCATCATCTCCGCCGTCGTCTTGGACTCTCCCTTGTTCCCCCTGAACAACCTCCAAAACGACGCCGTCTTCTTGCTCATCCCCTGACCCGACCCGGTTTCCGTTATCGGATCCGAATTACCCGGACCGGAAAACGGAACCGCCATTGATTTTGATCTCCGAAACGCCTGTTCGCACTCAATCAGACTCGCGACTCTGCCCACGGATCCGATCCCGGTGAATGGAGCATCTCCGGCGACGTCAGAGTCTCCGGGATAAGAGAAGAGGGAGAAGGATGAAGAGGAGGAGGAGGAGGAGGGAGAGGCGACGGCGCGTGATCTGCACGAGCAGGGAAGCGAGTGGGCGCAATCGGGGCAGAGAGAGGAGAGGCGTTCGTGGAGGCAGATTGGACAGACTCCGCTGCGACGCCATTTCGATGGGTGTCTCATGCATTGCCATACCTCATCGTCCGCCATTTTTCTCTCAAGTCCTTCACTTTCTCGCGTTTTCCCTCACTTTCTCGCGTTTTCTGAGTCGGTTCCTCCCGTGGGACGAGAGTAAGGTACAGAGTTATATAAAGGAAGAGGATTCGATTAATTAATGCATACTTTTGTATAAGCGAGCTTGCTTAACCGTGGTTAATTATTACGGCGTGAGGTCAGTAACCAGAGTTTACTTAGAAGCGCCGAATCACATTCCTTTATTTGGTGCTCGAAACGATGCGTTTAAGGTGCAAGGCGAGATGGCCCCTCCCGCTGGGAAAGATTTACATATATGCCATCGTAGGTAGGGCCCTTACACTGATCCACGTGTGCTACAATAGCGTATATTGCCAATTTGCCATTACCATGGTTTTGTGTTCTAAGGTTGACAAGACATGTTTCCAATAATTACAATGTAAATATTTAAAATTTCTCTAATGACATTATATTAGTTATAATAACATAAATTAGTCCTAGCTTATTACCGCTATCCATCAAAGCAAAAACTAAGGACAAAACAAACTCATTTGCTTTCAAACGGTCAATCGTTTTTCATCATTATTTTTAATACGATTTTAAACTCAGTAATTTTTCGTATATAATACACTACACGTCAGCAACATCACCCAAAAGTAACAAAATGTTCATAGCAAAAACTAATATTTATACATTAAACTCCCTTTATTTTTTTTTAATTTAAAATACGTTATATCAATTACGAATAAAAAACATTGTAGATATAAGAATACGAGAGAACCAAATCATTTATAATACATTGACCTATCTATTAGCGATTTCTTTTTGTATTAGCGATGAAATCCGCAATCGCAACTATAACGGTACAACCAGTCATCGTAATCATATATCTACCATGTTTTTTTTATCGTAACTGATATACCTGTTTTAAATTTAAAAAGAAACGGGGACGAGATTTCAAAATAGTTTAACGTATAAATGTTAGTATTCATTTGTTACATTTAATATTAGATCTCACGGTGAAAATTCTAACAATATTTGTTCCACCTAGAAAAACATGTATTTATTCGGTATTTTTAAAAAATTTAAACAGGCAGCCTAATATTTATTGAGACCCAATGGGCTTTTGCCAAATTGGGCTCGAGACTTGTGAATCAATGAACTCGGTTTTGTACTGTTAAGGCCCAACATACACACAGGGATATATATATATATATATATATATGTATATGTATAGAGTGTGTATGTGTTGGACAAGTGGGTTTGCTCCACGTGGCTTGGTAAAAGTCAAGCTAGTTCCCGCAAGTTGATGATCCCTGACCCCCCCCCCACGTCACAACACGACAAATACAGACAAACTACTTTTTCGATTTGGACACGTGGCTCTCATTTGATTATTTAGTTTTTTTAATCCGTGGTTTCTCTCAATAATTGGAGTTTGGGAATTCAATTTTTTTTCAATTCTAAAAGTCCTATTTGTGGTATAGAATGTCATTCGAGAAATGATATATGTATCACTTCAACGTCGATTGGACATCCAATATCTCGGCTATAGAAAATAAGGAAGTTCAAAGTAAAATTACATAATGTGTAATTAAAAATAAAAGTTAGAGAAAATTAGGACTAGGCGTTTCGGGAAACGGTTCGGGTTCAGGACGGAATAGATCGGTTTGGTTTTTTCAGTTTTACAAAAGTAGGTATCCATCGGGTTTTTTATTGTATTCGGTTGGGTTCGGTTCGGTTCCGAATTTTATTAAAAAAATGTTAGATTTTCTTTACAAATATTCGATTTTTCGGAATTTTTAAAGTTCGGTTCGGTTCTGAAAAAATTCGGTTCTCTAAAAATGGTACCGTTCAGAAAATAACATTGGTTTCAGGTCGGGAAAAAACCGTTTTAACGGTTCGGTTTGGTCCGGTTCTGAAGAACCGAACCGAAACGTCCAACCCTATAAAAAATCGTGTTTTTTTTTCTGTGGTGTTGAATGTCGTTTGAAAAATGAAGTTGAATAAAATTATTCGTAATTATGAAAACAGGTTTGGAAGTGAACCATAAACTGAAAATGGGGCCAACCCCCTTCGGAAGCCATTGTCAAAATCGAGCCCGATCATGAAGTCAACCACTTATAATGGTCCTAAACAAACACGAGTATAACAGAAATCGAACAATCAACTTCAAGGTGAATATATATTATGGATTAATTTATATCTATATTATATTATATTCTGTTTTAATTTTTATATATATATATATTATGTGTTATATATATTATATGTTTCTTGAAACAATCAACTAATGATATCCCCTGTTTTCTGGATATGTTGAATTATATGTGTCACGTAAAATATAAAATTATATTAATATAAAAGCAATGATATTGTTTAAACAACCCGCTACCCATGTTTTCTGGATGCAATTATATTCATTGAAAAAAAAATATTAAATAAAAAAAGAAAGCAAATACATGAGTATTATTTATAGATGTATTTGTATCGTTAAATTTGTCGTCTACTTTGCATATAGTGATGTGAAATTTTATTATGTGTATTAATTTATTGTACAATAAATTCGGATTTCCTTTTCATCGATAATGATAAAAGGCTACAAGTGATTGACTAACACCATTACTCGGATAATTGTAACCAAAACTCTAGAATATCCATTAATGCAGCTAGTCTACGCTTCCATATATTACATATCACAAATTAGTTGAAAACTAGGGTTCCACATATAATTTTGTCTTTTACATCTATATATATATATATATATATATTGTAGTGTTGAATTTTTTTGTCCTCATGTATAGGTCATTTTGATAGCAGTTGAAATATTGCAGTCACACGCATATAAGTTTTTACAATTATTCAATTGAATTTATATTTGGAATAACCGAGTCCATTTATGTATGTAACTAACGCGTTTTCGTGTTTGTTACTTGGAGTGAAACGAAGAATGTGGTATTTTATTTTGAACTTTGTAAAAGAATGAAAGGGCCAAAAGGCGTAGAACTCGTGATTTTTAATATTAGGACTTTACGAAATAATAATAAAAAAAAATAGATAGGATAAGGATCAGGACATAACATATACTTGATTGATTTATAGAAACTATATAGTAAGATATCGTCCACTGTTTAAGGTTGTCGTATCCTTCGCTCTCAGATTAGGAGTGGGCGCTTCGGAAAATGGTTCGGGTTCGGAACGGAATAGATCGGTTTGGTTCTTTCGGTTTTACAAAAATAGGTACCAATCGGGTTTTTATTGTATTCGGTTCGGTTCGGTTTCGGTATCGATTCGGTTCGGTTCCGCATTTTATTTAAAAAATGATAGGTTTCCTTTAAAAATATTCGGTTTTTTGGGATTTTTAAAGTTCGGTTCGGTTCGGTTCTCTAAAAATGGTACCGTTCGGAAAATAACATCGGTTTCGGGTCGGAAAAAATACCGTTTTAACGGTTCGGTTCAGTCCGGTTCTGAAAAACTGAACCGAAACATTCAGTCCTATCTCAGACTTGAGGGAATATATATATATATATGTATAGACGTATGTATACATGTAAATAAATAATAAAAAGAAAAGAAAAGGAATCATTACGTCTTAAAAAAAAAAAGAATAATGCCCATTCCACCATAAGTATACATATATTCCACGAGTGAAATAATAGCGCGTCTCTATGTGGGAAACATTGTGTGTATATATATACACACACAGTCTACAAGATCGTTCTTTTATCAGGATCAGGCTCTTTCTTTTTATGCTTCTTCCTTCCCTCTTGTACTTCTCTCTCTCTCTCTCTCTCTCTCTCTCTCTCTGCGTCTGTCAGGGTTTAAAACTGCGATAGAAAATCAAGAAGTTACTGTCAGAGAAATCAAACCCAATAACTGAAGAATCATATGGTAAATCCATAAAAAGCTCGATTACCGTTTCGATCGATTGCAAAATAGATTCTTTTCAAGTGGTTTTTTTTTTTAGAGCAACGCTCTGTTATTATTCCTCTCGGTACAAAAAATGTTTTCTTTGTATAAATGTGTTATTTATTTCTCTTCAGTTAGATTCGGTTTGAAATGCTCCGTTTTTTTCCAATAATTTTGGAGAATTTTCGGATTCAACTGTGGACGCTTGAAATATTCTTCTTCTTCGTCTTTTCTGCTTCCTTTCTCTTACTCATCTCTCCATATTTTCCGCCATTAATGGCCTCTGAAATCTTCTTTTTTTTCTGTGTGTGTATTTGCAGGGAAGCTGGGGAGGTGAAGAAGAAGGAGAAGAAGAAAACAGGTGGCCGCCATGGCTGAAACCTCTGCTGAGAGAAAGATTCTTCGTGCAATGCGAATCCCACGCAGAATCCCACAAGAGCGAATGCAATATGTACTGCTTGGACTGCACCAACGGCCCTCTCTGCTCTCTCTGCCTCTCTTCCCACAAAGACCACCGCGCCATTCAGGTAAACCGGTCCGGTTCTGTCTTGGTTCGATGCCGGTTCTTTAATGTGGGGTCTTTTTCTTCTTATGCAGATAAGGAGATCGTCGTACCACGACGTGATTAGGGTTTCAGAGATACAGAAGTACACGGACATAAGTGGAATTCAGACATATGTTATAAACAGTGCCAAGGTCGTGTTCCTGAACGAAAGGCCTCAGCCTCGGCCCGGCAAAGGCGGCGGCGTCAACGCCTGCGAGGTCTGCTTCCGCGGCCTCGTCGATTCCGTCCGCTTCTGTTCCCTCGGCTGCAAGGTACTTTCCCTTTTCCCCTTCGCCTTTCACCTCAGTTGAAAAAGATGAATAGAAATTTACCGTTTTAAAAAAACATAGTAATAAAAATTGCAAATTACACCAAACCTTTTACGTCTTCTATGATTCCTTTTTTTTTTAATCGAAGTTCTATGTATTTGGCGTATTGGTTGAACCCTTTGATATTTTTTTTAACTTCGGTTCCTTTCAAAACATTTCGCCTTGAAAAGAAGAGAAGGATAAAATAACATAATATGGTTTATTATTATATTTCTTATTCTTTTTGTTATTGTTAAGATGATTTTTTTTTTACCTAATTGTAGGAAGTACTAACGAGTTAAACAAAAAAAATTATGGAGAAATAATATGCAATGTAAACAAATAAACATATGATTTAATAATTCGTTTCGTGTTTTTAATTATTTTCAATTTCAAATATCCATATATTTGTTTTCATCCCATCGTTTCAACATTTTACATATATACATGTATAGATTCAAACCCTAATTAATTTTTATTCATTTAATTTAATACTTTGCAATATTAATGTGAATTAATCCACTTGTAACAATGTGTTTTTGGGGGATTTTGATCAGATGGTTGGGACATCTAAGAGTGGTCGTAAGAAAAGAAAGGGTTGGATAAACAACGTTTCAGATTCGGATGATTCATACAGCAGCAGCAATGGCCATGGAAGAAACAAAAGGAACGATAACAACTACTTCACGCCGTCAACGCCGCCTCCGACGGCGGTCATTCGCCGGACCCCCACCAAGCGGCGGAAGGGAATTCCCCACCGCGCCCCTTTCGGCGGTCTAATCATACATTACTGATCATGGTTAATATAGTAATTTTGCCACTTATAGATTTCACTAGCAGTAGCTCGATATATGGTGTATACGTGTGTGTATATATATATGGTTATGGACTTATGGTATAATGAAATACAAAAGGCTTGACATCACTAGGTGTAGATATGAAGGGGTATAATTATGTAAGATAACATATAGAATAATAGAAAGGCGTGAATTACACTTTTTCCTTGTATAGTTTGGGGGGTCAATGGCATAATTGTAAATAAAATAATAGTGGTTTATATATAGTCCTTCCTTTGTGTGGATGTGTCCGAGGGGAGATACCCCTGTAATGTAATGTAATGTATGCAAGTGGGAATGAAAATAGTGTTTTCGTCTGCTAATTTAGGGATTTTGTCTTTGTTATTTTTTGTTGGATTGACATCTGTAATTAGGGCTGGGCGTTTCGGTTCGGTTCTTCGGAATCGGACCGAACCGAACCGTTAAAACGGTATTTTTCCCAACCCGAAACCGTTGTTATTTTCCGAACAGTACCATTTTTCGAGAACCGAATTTTCCCGGAACCGAACCGAACTTTAAAAATCCCGAAAAACCGAATATTTTTAAAGAAAATCTATCATTTTTTTAATAAAACCCAAAACCGAACCGATATCGAAACCGAACCGAACCGAACTGAATACAATAAAAAACCCGATTGGTACCTATTTTTGTAAAACCGAAAGAATCGAACCGATCTATTCCATCCCGAACCCGAACCGTTTCCCGAAACGTCCACCCCTATCTGTAATGTCTCTTTAATGATATCTCACTTTTTTTCCCCTTATTGGAAACAATATATGCATGACTTCGTAGAAATTATTATTATTTTTTAAAAAATGAATCGTATACAAAATTTACATACAAATTTTTTTAATATTGATACTTAGTGGTAATGTAAAAGTGGTCATATTTCAATTAGCATATACATTCATTGAAATGGATCTCTTATGAGTGTTAAATCATCAATTGTCATTATATGATAGTTTGTGATAAATGCGAAGTTTATGACATATAACTAACGGTACCAATTTTTCTGATAACGTTTTTGTTATTTTGATGAAATTAGATTATAATGTCTTAGTCAACTTTTTTTTTTGCACTTCTTTATGAATAATGAAAAAGGAAAAAAGAAACTATAGTATATCTTCACGATGCGCCCCAAAATCATGGGTTTCGCACGTACTGTCTAATCCACGTGTCGAGCCACGGTTGGTTGATGATGACGAGTGTAGGCTCAGAGAAAGCGAAAGATGAGTCCAACGGATTTGCCGTGTACGGTGCGTGGGCTTTAACCGGGTTTTCTTTTCTTCGCATTATAATTATATTACGTGGGGCCCAAATGTCGACATTCTCTCTCGACCGTCCGATCTCCCAAATAATCAGGTATGATGATGTGATTTTGACCGTCCGATCTATCGCCTACGGTCAATGGTTTTGACTTTCTTTTCCGTGTGAGCGGATAGCTAAGCCTCTTTCCCACAACGGCAAAAGGGCCGAATAATTCGTATAAATGTGATAGAAAATAAACTTAATATAATGTTTTTTTAATATTTTACGAGCCACTCGAAAAATGAGCCGAGGCTTATCCTTTTTTTTCGACAATACAAATAATAAATTGTTTTCTTAAGACAAAAATATAATATCATAAACTACACTTAAAAGAAGGAATATAAAGATAATGGAAGAAGCATGTGTAATGATGTTGCCAAACCCACAAACGCCACATAAAATTGTTCGATCCGATTGTCCAACTTTAAATTATATAATAATAACGTTAATGCTCGTTAATTATTATTATTATTAATATAGGGAGGTTGATGATTTCTAAAGGTAAGTGGGGAGTGATTAATATCCGATTTGATTGGTTAATTGGGGAAAAGACGACCAACCCATCACCTGCTTTTTCACTTTCTTTAATTGGTGATTAATTATAAATTCTAATCGGATATTAATCATAACTATTCATCAACGGCTTTTGCATATATTTCTTCTCTTATAAGTTTTTAGTAATTATTGGTCTGTTATCAGATTGGTGTTCATATAACTGTGTTTTCTCTATATAGTGAATAAATTGTTCCTCTTTTTTAGAGGAAACCGATTTCTTTTTATTGACGTAAATTTCTTTTATTATTTTATTTGTCCGGTCCGTATCTTGTTTTGGTTCTTGTTCGTTGGAGAAATTCCGATCGTCTCGAGTTTTAACTTTTAAGGTTGTGTTATTATAAGGGTAATTTTTTAATCACTAATTTATAGGGACAAAAGGTGGTATGTGTCGTACAATAAATTGATCTGTTAAGCAAAATATGACCATACTATATTATATATTCATAATTTATATCCCGAGGTACAACATCGAGTTTTTAAATCATAATTTGTAATAATTTTTTGAGATAATCTAAACAGTGTAAAGCAGTAACCATTGTCTTTGTGTACTTTAGTGTACATAATAAAGATGTACATTACATTACATTACATTACATTATATATATATATATTATTTAATACGAGATAAAGGTATGGATAGATATTTTGGTACGGTTTTTAAGAATCAAACTGTACTAAACCGAAAAATACAGTATTTTTTCGAATCGAACCGTCTAAAATTCCTAGACGGTATTTTTTTTAAAGAGAACCGAATTTTTTAAAACCGAACTGAACAAATTTTAAAAAATTTTGAAAAACCGATTTTTATTAAGAAATTTTTTAAATCAGAATCGAACCGAAATCAGAATCAAATCAAACTGAACCGATTAATCAATTGGTACATATTTTTTAAAAATCAAAATAACAAAACAGAAATATTTTTGGACCGACTACGAATACCGAAATATTGGTCGGTGACGTCGGTACATGTCGGGCTAAATCAGCCCGAAAGAATAAGATACTCTAACCCATTAGCAATTATAATTTATAAAACCCAAATAAAGTTCGTGGCAATTAGAAAACCTGCACTCAACATATACGGGCTTATGTATGGAGCTATTTTCAATTTTATTTGGGCTTCCAATTTCATGTCCCTCTGGCTCTTGCTTCTCATTTCCGTTACTTTCTTTTTCCCTTTTTAATTTATCTATACTTTCTTTTTTTTTTCTTTTTTTTCTTTCCAATTTGAGGCCATTTTCTTTGACGATTTGTTACGTATCCCTCTGATTAAATTTTGCATATTTCTATTAAAAAAAAAGCATACAAAATTCCAAATTAATTAAAAACCGCATGTTTCTTCATTGGAAAAAAAAAATGCCATATGGTGTGTCTCCTTTTGGGTGGTAATAGAAGGGAAAAATTCTATAAATCAAATAACTTAATTTTCAAATTCAACTATTAGTGAATATTGAGAGAGTTTGCGATAAACAACTGCACGTTTATTTTTGGGTTAAATAATTTACATGGAGTGGGCGAATATGTAGTATTGGGCTTTGACCAGGGCCCATAAAGCAGGTCTCGATTTGTACGATTCACCGGAGCCCTAGACCGCCGGAAAATTTAATCCAAAGAGAGAGGAGAGAGATACAGAAGGGCTGGCGGGGGATTCAGTAATCGCGTCCGGCAATTCGTGCCCGTTTTGGAGCGTGTTGTTCTGAATAGTGAACCGAATTCGATCGTTAAGTAGGTGTTCTTTGTGAGGTATCGACGGAGAATATGGCGGCATCGTCGCCGTCTCTGAGCAGCAACGGCCTTTCCGCCGCCGCTACGCCTCCCCAGACCCTCCGCGGCCTCAACAAGCCCAAGTGTATCCAGTGCGGCAACGTCGCTCGCTCCAGGCATGTATCTTCACGCCGCTCCGCCTCCCAAGACCCTCCGCGGCCTCAACAAGCCCAAGTGTATCCAGTGCGGCAACGTCGCTCGCTCCAGGCATGTATCTTCACATCTCTCTCTCTCTCTCGCTCGCTCGCTCGCTCTTTCTGTTTTTCGTTTGTGGCCATTGATTTTGGTGGGGATTGGATAGTTTAGCTTACCGGGTTTACAATTCGGTGCCATAGTTTGAAAAAGTGAGGTTGGAACTGGGTTTTGAGTGTTAGAAGGGCTCGAATTCATCTCACCACCTTAGGTCTGATCTTAGTTTAGAGTTGTTAGGGTTCGAGTTTTACGGTTGTGGTGTTTTTCTCTATTGATTTGGGGAATTAAAGTTTTTCCTTTTAAGATAAACTTTTGAACTTTAGGCGCTGTGTTTTAGGGACTGATTCGGGCAGTGCCCCCTGACATTAACTCTCGTGATTCAGTTTTCTTCCCCCGGCTGATTCTCAAATGACCAGTTTGGGGGATAATTGTGGTTGAGATCGATTTTCTTATTTGTTTGCTTGAATGACCAATGCAGGTGTCCATTTCAATCTTGCAAAGGTTGCTGTTCAAGAGCAGAAAATCCCTGTCCTATTCACGGTATTCTTTTCCAGAATCTGTTCTTTTTAAGATGATAATTCGGTTCACCAAATCGTTCTGGTAGTTCATTTTTCATCATTGTGGAAGTATCAGGTTCGGGGATCTAGTGCCATATTTTTTGTTTATTTAATTTTGATATGAAAGCATGAAACTTTTGATTCTCACAAAAAAGAATTGATATTACATGAAAAAAGGAACTCTTCCTTGCATTCCTTATTCAAAGTTGCGATTACTTCTCTCAACTAAAGCAAATAGGAAAGACGAAGAATTTTGTCACTGCTTCATTCTTTGTTGTTTGTCGCAGTATTATGTATGTGGTAGCTGTATGTGTAGTCACCTGTCACCAACTAGGATTATCTGGTCAATAATGTGGTTAAAAATCGGTGGATTTTTATGTCGGCTTACTCCTTTTTTACTAATGCAGTCCTGAAAGCAGCCGCTGGATCTGCTGAGAAGACACAGGGGCAAAGTACTCCCGCATCAGATCAGAAATCATCCGAAGGAACTTCCGGGTACGGCTCACTTGCATAGTTTTTATCTTGTTTTATGTTTTTGTTTGAGAAACTGATCCCAGCTGTTTGTGTTTGGACCATCTGAAAAAGTATGAAAAGAACGGTTTTGGTTTGTTTGATTTTACTAGGACATACCATTAACTTTCAAGTTTTATCAGGCATAGTCCTAACGCAGATGCTACATACTTGTCTTTAGTTGGGAAGGCAATCCAAAATGGATAGAAAAAAGGCATTCTGAAAGATGATTCATTTGCAGTAATCATACATTTAGGGATTAAGCAGCATTGCAACCTTTGCTGGATTGAAAATTTTGTGAGTGAGTGAGCCACAGGAAAGTCTAAACATCGATTTCATGATTGAACTGGACGTAGTCCGCACCCAGATTCTTATTTCTCGTGTCTGTAGAGCAATTTACATAAAAGCTTAAAGATTTGCACTTAGTCTGCAATTGAAACAATAGTCTCATGACAATCATGCATGTAAGGTTATATGCGATGATATACAAATGTAGTTTCGGGGTATTCTAATCTCGGGCGTGAATGCATTCATGTTGGTGCTGATTATTTGTTTTTATTCTTTTCTTGATCCAGGGCTACAACTAGACTTGCATCAATCAGGCACCTTTCTAGCAACTTTGCTCAGTTTAATAACCTCAATGTCCCTCTCCGCCCGAGAAAGCCATTGACCATAAAGGTACTTAATAAGAAAACAGTTTTAATATTGCTGCTCCTTCGTTTAACATCATCATGTGGACTTATTTAGGCGCCATTTGAGAATCACCAATAAATGTTATTTGCTATGTTCTCCAGGATGCTTTAGTGTTAAATGAGTGGAGATTCTCTAAACTAAAAGAATACAGAGACAGAAACATTGAAGTAGAAAATGAAGCATTTGATCGCTACATGAAGAATGTAAATTTACTCGAAGAGGTATTTTCTTTTGCATCTGTACCGGAAGAGAACAATGACTTGGCTACTGAACAAAAAGACGATGAGAGAATCATTTCGGGGATGAAACTGAGGTTGAGATCTAATTCTGCAAGAACAGAGAGCTTTAGAGAGGGGATCCGAGAGATTATCAACCAGGGTTTGGTGAAACTTCAAAACCCTAGGGTAGATGAACAGCCAGAAAGACAGGCCAAACGGGCAAAATGGGAAGAGAGAGCTTCGGCTATGAGTGAGATTATCGATAAATTGAACAAAGCAAGAACAGAAGAGGATCTCAAGTCTTGCACAGAGATGAAATCGAAGTTATATCATCACCGCCCTGCATCCTCTGTCGAAGTTTCCGGCTATGACGCATCTGAGAAGAGCAAAGATTTACCGGGTTTTGTCAGAAGAATTGAAATTGGCGAAGAAACGCTTAAAAGAATCGACGAACAAGGCTGTTCTCTCGAGCAGATCTGAGTCTTGTGAATGCAGAGAGATATGCTATAGGAAAACATCCTGTGAAGAATCAAATTCGTCATGGATTTCTCGGGGCAGGATATCCGTCGGAAAACTTGGAGGAGTGCAAGCAAATCTTGCCCGTTTCAGATCAAACGGAAAATGGTAATGTAATTCTTGTGTGGGATGGAGCATGGGTTTGATTCCGTAAGATCAAAGATTCTTCTAAAATGATTCTCAAAGCCGTTTTAGCTCGAAGAGACAGACACTCGTGATGGCATCCATGCAAAATGGTCGGTCTTGGACGAGGGAAGTAGTAGTAGTGTCTCCCCCTTGGATTTGCATGGGTATTAGTAAATGTGATGATTCTTATCAAATTTAACCAAAGTTATTGTCGTGTGTTTCACTTTGGTGAAATGATCTATCAAATATCTTTATATATATATATATATATATATATGTTCTAAAGATACTTAACGTTGAGTATATAAAAACCCAATTGGATCGTTTTCTTTGGACACGAAGTAATTTCAGATTAAGATTTCTTCTTATAAACTTTCAACCTTTTCTTTTTGAAACTTTATTATCGTTGTCGCGGGGAACGGGGAACGCTTGTAAAAAAAAATCATGTAAAAGCATATACCACTGGAGCTTCACGCGCCACGACAACGCGTGAACGACACCGCATCGACTCGTCCATGGGAGTTGGCTTAAAATCGCTAAATGGACCACACACTGACCACTTTATATTGCAATAAATACAGCAAGAGGAGTTCTTCACGTCGCCATTACTCGGTCTTGATCTTCTGCATCACAACGCTCTTACAAAATCTCTCTCTCCCTCTCTCTCTCTCTCTGCATTGCGGCGATGGAAGGACTGATCAAAGGCTTAGTCGACGTGGCTATCGGTCACCACGATCGCCGTCACGACGACGACGACCAGGATGCGAACTCGCGGGACGAGAGATCCAGATCTAGCTGGGCTGAGGTTCGAATATCGATCCCGTTTTCATCTGGTTTACTTTGAAATATTATCTGTTCTTGATATGATCTCCATTGATCTTTGTTTCATCGTATCTGTTCTTTTTTCAAAATTTGAACCGTGTCTTTGGTAATCGTTTGATCGTTTCGCTCATTTTCCTTTATGAACCGTGTTTGTTTTTCTGAGCTCTCTGGATCCGGGAAATGATCGCAGGTGGTGTCCGGGGAAAAGGAGGAGGATCACGATCGACCGGAAAGATCGTCGTATGTTCGGCATCAGAAGCAAGAGGTAAGGAGTGCTCTTGATGCGGAATTTAAACCAAATTACGGGAATCTCGGTTTTGATTAATAAGATTGGGGTTACGCACTCTTACTGAAAATTGCCGGTCATCAATATCTGGGATTTAGTAGATTTGCTGAGCCTCATAGTACGCAGATCACGTTAAATGGTGATCGGGGAGGAAGCTTCTGAAATTTGGGACACTTGATGGTTTTGGATTCTGATTAAAGTGGATATGAAGTCTATATCCATTTGGTTTGATCTGATTTTGTGTCTTTGAAGAGCTGGTGGAAGGTCATCACATGGTCGGTATCAGGATCAAGAGGTACGATTGTGTTTTTGTGCAAGCAACGTTGCTAAGAGTTTGAAATTATCCCAAACAAAACCCGCAGAGTAGATGAGGTCGGAAGGGCTGTTAGTTCGCATACGCCTTTACATTTTCTCAGCACTTTGCATAAAATTTTGGAATTTCATATTTGATGTTTGGACGTGTTGATTTCAACCGTATTATATTCACGATATTGTTGTTATTCCTCCACGAGATGGTCTTACGTCTATTTACCATTTGATTGTTTTCGTGCAGGAGAATCAAGAGAAGAACGATGACGGATGGGAAACTGTGGGGAAAAAGAAGCCTGCAAGGCATCCGCACAAGGTTTGATCATTGATTTGCAAATTTTCAAGAAGCAATCAACAATAAAGCTTTCCCATCACCTGGATTTAGTCTGACATCTAAGTTGTTTATATCTCTTGGCAGGTTCCTCAGGACCAGTGGCAAGGGTATAAACGCCCTGCAAGCGAGCAACACTACTCGGAAGATGATCAAACTCATGAAAGCCTACAACCCTCTCAAGAAGAGCTCTCCGATCTGTCACAGGCTTGCAACAGGCTCTGGGAACTCGACTCTAACCGCCTTGTCCCTGGAAAAGACTACCAGATCGACTGCGGAGAAGGGAAAAGGGTTCACCAGAAAGAAGACATGGCTCAAGGAAGCTTGTTTTCGTGGGTGAGCGAGGATATTTTCAGGAAGCCGACGTTTGCTAGGTTCTGTTCGTTGTTAGACAATTACAACCCGAATGAAGGGTACAAGGAAGTTGTCACGACAGAGGAGAGACAAGAGCAAGCAGCCTTTATAGAGGAGATCAGCAGAACTGCCGTGATCAAGTACCTTCACAAGTACCTTTCAGACAAGGGTGTTGTCTCCGAGAGCTATCAGGAGTTCAAGAGAACGCTCACCAGTCTCTGGTTTGATCTCTATGGCCGAGGTGGTACATCAGGTTCATCTTCCGCGTTTGAGCATGTCTTTGTCGGGGAGATCAAGAATAGCGGTGAGCAACAAGTCTCTGGCTTCCATAACTGGATTCAGGTAATGTGGTTCCATCATCACATTAGTGTCATAACCCTGATTTTTGGTCGAGTCGAGGAGATTAAGAAATCATTATGGTTTTTTGGTATCGTAGTTTTATCTGGAGGAAGCGAAAGGAAGAGTAGATTACCAAGGCTATATATTCCCTAGACGTCGTGGTGAGATCGTAAGTATCATCTTCTTCTTCTTCACCTTTGTTCTGACTACAAGTAAGGAGTCGGTAAAAAAAATAGGAAAAAACGGAAGAAGAGGTGCATTTCCTTTTTTTTTTTTCTTTTTTTTTTCTTCAGCATATTAGTTAGGGTTGGCTTATTCGGGTTAACCGTTGTATTCGATTTTAGGAAAGTTATAACCAACTCCTTGTTTATATTAAATCCGACTTGGTTTGAGGTTTCATTTCAGTTTTTATTGATAAAAATTCTCATTTTTTCGAAGAAATTTTCTGTTTTTCTGTTAATTTTTTTATTCGGTTCATATTAGTTGGTTTTTGGTTTTAGAAAAAAACATTATCATTCAGTTTTTATATCAAATTCTTTTTTTGTTACGATGATATGTTATTGTTGGTTCGGTTATTAACCAAATATGTCACCCCTAATATCGCTGTCGGGTTGGTTATCAATTGCAGCCAGATGAAGAGACGCAGGTGCTGACGATACAGTTCGAATGGAACGGGGTGACGAAATCGGTGTCGAGCACACTGGTGGGAGTGAGCCCCGAGTTCGAACTGGCTCTCTACACTCTGTGTTTCTTCGTGGGAGACGAAGACAATCACATTCAGCTCGGTCCTTACTCCGTCAACGTCAAATGTTACCGCCACGGCCACCGTCTCGGCTCTGCTTTCCCCATCGCTGATTCCTAAAATAAACATACACACACACACAGTGCGAGGGTAAGCAATTCACATTATATATCTCAAACTCTCGGTGTTATTTATTACCCATAAGCTCATAATCATTAATTTACTAGACTCGCACAACCTGCCTTGTATCTTTACTTTTACCCGTATCTCAGTTGACATTGCATGCGAGTGAGGCCAAGTTGGCCAGACGATTTAAGCGCTTCTAATTGACCCTACGCGCTAGCTTCAACGCGTAAAATGTGGCGCGTGGGAACAGTTTTTATGCCTCCTTTTTTTTCATATATAATTATTGTCGTATTGAATTAATAGATATAAATAATCATGGTATGCCTTTGGGTCTAAGTAGGATTTATATCAATAATGAATGTAGTTTCAGTTCAATCGCATCTGGCCGACGCCATCTCGAGTGGCAGCGCCCATTTAGGACCAAGAAGAGCTTCCATTTACCAAAAGGCTGATTTGTCTGCCCATGACTATTATTCGGAAGGTGCAGACAAATTCGGCAAAATCCAGAAAATGTGTAATTATGTGGGGATTTTCTCATAAAAAGCAAGAGTTCTAAGAGGTTCAATGCAAAAAGCAGCCGAGGTATAATTATCATTAGACATTGAAATATCAATTTTATTCAGTGTCACACATGTAAAAAACACAGGGATAGGGAGAAATCAAACTGAAAAGTTTATTTGCCATATAATAAGGCAAGATGTGTTTTATCAAAAATAAAAATAAAAATAAAAATAAATAAGGCAAGATGTGTATAATTTAATATTCGCTAAAACTATCTCGAACATTTTCACGACACGCGGGCTGAAATTTTTAAAGTTATTGTCATTGATGGGCCTGAGATTTGGACCCTTTAAGCCCAATAAATATCCAAATGAGATCCGGATCCGTCTAGACCCAGATCCTTTAGGTTTTTACGAAGGGTCTCCTTATAAATAGAACTGAAATGTTAAAACTAGGGTTTCTTGCCATTGTTGCCCGCTCTCCGTTGCCGCTTCCCGAGATCACTCAGGCTACCAGTAACAATGGTACGACGATTCTCTCTGTCTCGGTCAAATTTGTTTTTGGTCGCTGCTCAATCGTTAGTGCTGCAAGGCCCGACAATGGATTTCTCGCTTAACTTCTGTTCATATGGGAATAGTGATTTGCTTAAAGTTCGATTGCTCGATTTGGTGGAAGAGATTCGCATCTGTTCGGATTTTCGAAAAAGAGGCGGAGTTTATTTAAATCATAACTCTCTGTTATACTTGCTTGATTTATGCATCCTCCAAAATCTGATCTCGTTGCTTGCCGGAAGTTTTCCCTTGGGGGTTGCTGTTTTTGTGTGAAACTTTGATAGTTTCACGACTTTGTTCGACATCAATCTTCCGTTTGTTTTCTGATACATGATATATTGATTTGGTTTCAGACCAAGAGAACGAAGAAGGCCGGAATTGTCGGCAAGTATGGTGAGTCTCTGCCATCAACCCTTGATAAGCATTTCCATGAAGTATCCGACTTTACTGTCTTGTCCATTTTATAAATCGGTGAAGATTCATTATCGATTTGCTTGGCAAACCCATCGAGTCTGATGGGATAATGTTCCTAGAGCTTGGTCTTGTTTGGTTAGAAAATGGATTTCGAAAAAAGTGATAAACAGAGAAAAAACCCTTTTGCATTGGAGATGATCTGTATTATGTCATTGGTCATTGTTTCTGAATCCGATGATACTTGTGTCTATGTCAAGGTACCCGTTATGGTGCCAGTCTAAGGAAGCAGATCAAGAAGATGGAAGTGAGCCAACACAGCAAGTACTTCTGTGAGTTTTGTGGAAAGGTACTAATGTCTTGATTTCATGGGTGTGTTTTTTCTAAATCCAAAACCAAAGGATGTTGTTTATCAAATGAAACCCATTGCTTCTGTTGCAGTATTCCGTCAAGAGGAAGGCTGTTGGAATTTGGGGATGTAAGGATTGCGGGAAGGTCAAGGCTGGTGGTGCTTACACTATGAAGTATGAACACCCTTTTTCGCTATTCCTTTTGCTGAGCATTCTCATTTTCTTCCCTCCTCTAACTTTGAATCCTTTGCTTTTTCTGTGTGTGAAATTCGGCAGCACTGCAAGTGCTGTGACAGTGAGGAGTACCATCAGAAGGCTGAGAGAGCAAACTGAGAGCTAGAAGGGATAAGACCCGGTTTATTCGAATTTAGAGTGCTTTGGACTGATTTTTTCCACCTTTGAAGTTGTTTTTGTATTCGAACCTGTCACAGAGACCAGATTATCTTCTCTCTTTTCTATGTCTGATCAAGTTTCTGTGTTTTTTTTTAGTTTTGTGTTGATGCATGTCTTGTCTGGCATTGAACTTGTCCTGTTATTTAAGCAAATGTCTGATCTGAGATAAAAGCACGATACGTTAGGGTTTGATTATGAGTTATAACCATGGAGAGGAAAGGAAATGCAATTTACCCGATCATGTGAGTGATCCATTGCAGCGTAACCTCTCTATTCGTATCAGTGTTTCAAAGGGTCCAATGTTCCCGGAATCCCAAAACGGGAAACAACGACCTTAGCTTATGGTGAAGTGATAATATACGAGTTACTCTTGAACGGTTTTCAATTTAATCGCTCGTCGTCTGCTCATCTTTAACTTTAAACGGTTTTCACGTTCAGTAAATCTATCCAATTTTCCGAGAAAACCCACATATTTTGGTTCTCTTATTTTCTGTTTTATCCCGTATATAATGTGTATTTTAGAACACAGTTATAAAATCCGCTTAGTCATCGAAGCTGATATCATAATCATGTGCAGATTAACGACGCGGTTACGATTTTTTTGGGGACAATATGCTGCATGCATGAACACGAAGCCTGTTAGGGAGCCCGGGGGTAGCCTGAAACGACAGCGTATTTATCTCCATGTGGTCAACTGTCAACATCAATTGAACAAAAAAAGCAGGAAAAGAATGGTACAAGAAAACAAAACAGATCTTAATCCGCCATGAATGTTGAAAGATTCCAGGACGTAAACCACCGAGTTGACTCACCAACTCTCTGCCTTTCATTATTTTTAGATTCCTCGTCTTCCCCATGAAACATCGGGCTCCCTTTCCTTTTCTCGCTCTCTCACTCCTCCTCCTCCTCGATGCCTCGCCGACCAAACGACGCCGAGCCCGGGCGTTTTACCTCCGCCGCTCTTCTCTTCATCGGCTTGATCTCATGCCTTGTCGTCTACGCCGTCATCTCCTCGGTCCTCCGCCCCAACGATCCTAGCCGCGATCCCACCGCCCGGGTTTCCGAGAACCGCCGTGTAGCTGCGGCGGAGGGCGGCGCAGGGTGTTGCCGTGGAATCGATAATCTGGAGCTGTGGGGTCCGGCGGTGAAGTGGGGGTCGGATTTCAAGCTCGATTCGTCGGAGGACTGTTGCAAGGCGTGTAAGGGTATGTGCAGCGGCACCGACGGGCCTTGCCTGTGCGACACCTGGGTGTTCTGTGGGAACAAAGAGGCTTGCGGGTCGAAATTTGGCGAGGTGGGTTTATCGGATCTTGGTGTTCTTCGCCCGTTTTCTGATCGATTTAGGGTTCATTTCGTGGGATTGGGCCTCGTGCTCGGATTCTAGGAGCTTAGATCGTTGACAGATGCTCAATTGAGCTGGTCCTCTGTTCAAATTCCAGAAAACTTTGTTACTTGGAAGAACTTTTGTGATCGGAATGTGGTTCAAAATTCCAGAGATTTGGTCGAAAATTTCTGAGTTTGGAAGATTTTCCGTGTTGTGCATGACTGGAGATTGTGCTCGGATCCTCTTAGCTTAGTGGTTGAGAAACATAGAGATGAGCTTGCTGTTGAGTCAAGTTCCTGAGATTCTCTTACAGTTCTCTAATTTGGTAGATTTTTTCTTGAGTTTCTCATTTCAATTTTCTTGCGCAGTGTTGGTTGAAGAAGCAAAAAGATGCATTGGCACCTGATCGGCAAGAAGGTGGCCAGAAAGAAATGTGGACATCTGGGCTCATCTTCGGACATGGCGAGGTACTTTGAAACATGTCTGAAAATCCTTGTAAATTTCTGGAAACTGATACTACCGAACCGATACTACTCTTTGAGGTGAGATTTTGCTGTTTAAAACAAAATCTCATCTCTCTGAGTGCAGTGCTCGATGATAGCCGCACGATTTTCTTCTTGCGGTGGAAGCTTTTTACGTTCTTAACAGTTGTTCTTCTTAATGTTACTGATGTTTTATGGGTTGATTTTCTTCTCCCAACCAGGGAATTGTCGTCTTTGAGACAGACCATGGCAGACTTCATGTCAAAGTTAGTAACTTTACAGTCTTTCTTTCACTCCCCAACAGAATTTTGAGTTTCCGGTCCTTCCATTCTTAGAACCCGTACAAGGTTTCATATCATATCAATGATTTGGTTCATTGCAGCTTCACCCAGAGTGCGCCCCTCATTCAGTGTACTATATTCTTAGTTTATTGAGGCTGCACCACTGCGCTGGCTGCCATTTCTATCGGGCAGAGAGCAGAGGATCACACTGGGATTCAGAAGGCAACCATGTTAACAATGTAAGATTCTTCGATCTTATAGCGTTTTGTCTTTGGCGATACAGATCTCTGTTTTGTTTAAGACATTGACGCATTGGCGTTTTCCATTACTTGGCTTTTCCATTTCAAGCCTTTTCCAACGTCATGTTCCTTTTCTTGAGTTTCAAAGATCCATGGTTGTAACTGATGTCTGATTGTTTTATAGCATAAGCTCCCATTTGGTGCAGTTACTATCTGATCACCGAGGTTGTATTTGATACATTCTCTTTGCAAATTTCAGTCTATGGTATCTGATACAATCTTCAACGTCGATAAAGGGGTGTTTTTGTATTTGATAAATCCAGACAGTTGGGTATCAAATAGTCTTTTCTATACTGCCATGGCTTCCGAGCTCTTTTTTTACATGCCAGATCATTGTGAATCTTGCAATTTCGAGCTTAGAATGTTTTCCTGAAAGTTCTTCACTTTGTGAATTCTGCAGGCTCCATATGGTCCACCGTTTGGTCTGATCCAAGGAATTCTCGAAGCGGAAGGAAACCCGTTTAAACCAATCCCGAAGGAGCATTGCCCGACCATAGGACGTGGGTCGGTGGCTTGGGTCGGGTCAGGACCGGAATTCTTCGTAAGCCTGGCTAACCACCCGGAATGGAAGAACTCCTACACGGTCTTTGGATCTGTTCTTCCGGAGGACATGGAAGTTGCGGAGAAGATCGCGGGTCTACAGACCAGACCCGATGTCTGGAACAGCGTCAACGTGTCCGTGTTGGAGAAACCTGTGTCTTTTGTCGTCCGGAGAATGAAAAAGGACCGAGAAATACATGTGGATGGTTCTTGATTCTTCTCTCTTTTTGGTTTTCTTCTTAATTGGCTTCCTGTTTTATGCAGGAATTGGATTTTTTTTTTGGCTTTTTAATAGTTAATATCAAGCTTTCTTCTTGGCCTTAAGGTTAAATTACAATTGTCTTTTTACCCCCAAGAAAATTACTATTGTCAAAACATCATAGTTATAACTAAAATGTCATGTAGAAGCGAAACGTGATTACTTGATAATGAATTTTTAACCCCTGTACCAAACATTTTTATATAGGTTGCTTAAAATTTAGTTTTGGGAATAAAACGATGACGTGGCATTTGAGACGGTCGAAACGACGGCGTATGAGGTCGCAAAAAAATGAGCAAAAGCGCGTCAAGGCGTCGCAATAATAGCACGGCTACGACAATCACGCCCGCGATACACCTAAACCGCGCGTGTACGGCGGCGGAGGAGTAGGTGCGTCGTTTGCACGCGTCACGTCCCTCGGCGCACTTTAGCACCACCCCCGCCGCCCCCTCCCTCCTCTTCGGCCCACCATGACCCAACCCTTCTTATCTCTCACTCTTCTAACCTACGCCTCCTCTCCTCCGCTCCCTTTTATCCTTCACCTTCCCCTCCTCCTCCTCCTCCTCCTCCTCCATCATGTCGACTCCTGACGATGGATCTCTCACATCTGTCGCCCACGCTGACGCCTCCGCAGCCGCTGTTACGGTTGCCGCCACGACGCGGAGGGTTCCGCCTCCGTGCTGGACCGACGAAGAAACCCTAGCCCTCGTCAACGCCTACAAGGAAAAGTGGTTCGCCCTCCGCCGCGGTAACCTCCGCGCCGCTGACTGGGACGACGTCGCCGCCTCCGTGTCTGCGTCGTCTTCTGGCGAAGGTCCACCGAAGTCGGCTATACAGTGCCGCCACAAGATCGAGAAGCTCCGGAAACGGTACCGCGCCGAGAAGCAGCGGTGCCTTAACCGACCAGGCAAGTTCTCTTCCTCCTGGGATTTGTTCCCTCTGTTGGATGCCATGGGGTTCGCGCCCCCGACGCCGGCGGCCGTCGAATCTCAGGACCCTGATATGGAACATGATTATGACATCAAAGGCGGCCCCATGGACGGATTCAGGGCTAGTAAATCTAAAAGGTTTGGAAAATTGGATGCCTTTTCTGATTGTGGTCGAGATCTCGGAGACGGGTTTGGATTTAGGTCTAGGGCGAAAAATCACATGCAATTTTCTGGTGGTTTCAAGGGTGAGTTTGATTCGGATTACGATTCGAGTGGTGGGTTTGGATTGAAGAGGAAATACAACGGGAATTTTAAGCCTAGTGTTGATCTCGATGGCGATTCGGATGACGAGATTATGTTACAGCCCAAGACGGTTAGGACTAAGGCTCACGGCAAACCTTCCACCGTCGGTTTCAGCCACGCCGGCGGTGGCTTCCCTATCAAGTCGTTTGGTGACAGGAACTTTGCTTCTCCTGGGTTCAAGCCCAAGAGCTTCAGCAGGTCTGACGTGGATTTCTCTCCCAATCTCGATTACGACGATGAAATCTATGGTGGAACCAACAGAGGAGATGGATTTAACCAGCGGAGTCAAGGTTCACGGGGCTCGATACAAGCAAACGGGAACTACACCCGCTATGCAGGTGCTCCGAATGGTTACGGATCTTCATCAAGATTAGGTTATGGACAGAGCAATGCAGCAGATACAGAACCCGACCCGATTGATGAGGTAGTATCGTCGATCAAGATGTTAACAGAGATGTTTGTAAGGGTGGAGAATTCGAAGATGGAGATGGCGAAGGAGATGGAGAAGACACGAATGGAGATGGAGCTGAAGCATTGCCAGATGATGCTTGAATCGCAGCAGCAGATCATCGACGCCTTCACTGAAGCATTGATCGAGAAGAAGAGGAAGAAGAAGGAGAACGAGAACGCGAAGAACTCAATCAAAAGCACTCAAGCGTGAAGAGAGAGGTAGTGAACTTGACTATAATTGATCATCTATAAGTTTGCTTGGTATGATTAACAGCGCTGAAGGGTGGTAGAACAAAAAGCGGCCTCTTCTTGTTTAGTGAGGGGAGAAAAAGGACCGTAAGTGAAAAACCTGACGCTTAACTGGTCGGATTCCGATTCACTTTCACTTGGTTAGTATAAATAGCGTTTTTGGAGGGAAGGATGTAGACGGCTGAATTGTTGTTCTGCCAAATTTGCTTTTTGGTAGGAAGGAAGAACTGCCCGTATCTCTTCTATGCTTTTAGTTTCTTGTTTTTTGTTTTTCTGCTACTTTGGTGGTGGTTATCGAAAGATTCTTGAGAAAATTCCTAGGCTTTCCCCCTCAGAAACTTACTTTTATTTGGGTAACCGCGTATCCTGGGTCGAGGTCCAGACTAATCCCGAAGTCAGAGAGAAGCCATGTGAATACCTCCTCTACAGTCTGGAGTTCGAATTCAGGACGGGACAAACGTTTTGTTCCGTTTCACCGGTTGAACTACCCAGATTGGATGCTTTTGATTGAGAAAACAAGCTCATAGTTACTTTGCAAACGGTATGATGCGGGTGTGACGGTGTTGCTGGGCACAAACTCTCGGGTGGAACGGAGATGAAAATCTGAATCTCAGGTTCGGGTTTGGATTCGAGTTTTGAATCTCGAGATCAAAATCTGAATCTGGGATTAGGGTTTGCCTTATGGTGTCACTTTGCATGCATCCTGTCCGAAAGAAAGTGGTGAAATAGACAACTGGAAAAATAAATATCGTAACTTTGATCCTTATGCCATTACATTAAAGGCCAAAAGAGAGAGTCAATTTTATCTTATTAAAACTATATTGCTAATTTACGTTTAATTGTCATTTAAGCTTAATGGGCTTGTGGCCCATTTCTCATGACCGCTTAATATAATGTCATCCGGGTCATAGGGATGGATGTTCGGGGTTTGGGTTCTATTATTTTGTGGATTTTAGATTTTTAGAATTTAGAATATATACATGTATATACATACACACACATGATTAAATTCGAATTGGTTCGGTTTTGCCTAACCAAACCAAAATAATCACGTCTGCATGCGTTATCTACATGCCCAATGCTTTCTTTTATATGAATACGGGCAACTTTAGATTTCATGTCATCGTCTGAAAATAGTGTGTGTGTGTGTGTGGGTATATATTATATACTATGAAATATTAAGAACTCTTGCTTGCTATCGAAGCATTCCCAATGTTCAATTGTTCATGTAATCATTTGAAAGCAAACTCAAAAAAGGGTCACCTTGCCTTTCATTCGCAATGAGTAATTTTTTATAAGAAAAAAATATATTTGATATATGGACCGTTTTTAATGTTGAATTAGCGATTCGAATTGGAAAGATTTACTAACTCGGGCAATTTCGTATAAATCACTATTCAATAATACGCAATAATAAATTCTATCATAATCATTCATGCGTAAAATTTTTGTCGGCTTATAACCACAGATTTTAAATTACTACCCGTTCATATGGATATATAAACCAAAGATTCAAGATATGTTTCAAAGATTTTTGCATACATGTCTCCAAAGTAATGATTTCATATCAAAATAATCAAATGCCTTGAGTAGATAAGCGTTGTCAAATGTAATTCCGTGTGGGATTAGCCATATTACCGCTTACACGCCAAAAACGGATTTTCAACAAAAGTGTAATGAGTTATATATATATATATATATCCATTGGATAAAAATAATTAAAAACTACAACTCTTGAATTTCAAAGTTTGACGAGGAAAAATAAAATAAAAACCTTGAAAATTACCGCTCATATTTATCAACTATATATATAAATCAATTCTTATCCAATGGACGACGTCAAGAGATTTTTTTCTTTTTCAAGCTTGGTGGGTGTACTCTTATCCTTGTTTTTTTAAAGTTGCGTACAACACAGGAAAAATCATATGGTGCGAATTATATTATCTTAAAAGATGTGGTTTAATATTTATACGGATGCGGTATATATATATATATATATATATATATATATATATAATCAGAACAAAAATAAAGAAATAAATGCTTGCTAAATATTTTCAATTTTAATGTCAGTGAAATGGCAGTATATGATAGTGATGTTCTCCTTGTTATAAATTTGGTAATGCGGGTTATAATATGCTGTATGCGCGTGCATATAGTAATGAACAAATAAATGGTCGTGAGATATAAATGAATATGGATGAACATTGAAAATTATGGATAATTGACTTTGACTCAGTTTCCGAGTGCATGTGTGGTGGCTCAGCCCCCAACTATATGTATATGTATAATATATATATATAAAGTCTGCCCATCGTATATTATATAAAACCAGCATTAAGATCAAGCTAGACTTTTAATTGGCAAAGGATACAAAGCATGCACAACGGTGTTAATTATGGGGAATTTAGACCATTCGTGCAAGTGGTATTATATATGCAAAAAAAAATTATAATGTAGTTTACATAACAAGTTTTATATCATTATTCATCACGTAATACCATCATCAATCGCATATGTATGTATACATAACATATCAAGCAATTCAAATTATTACACCGGATTATAATGAACTTGATCATAGTAACCTTCCCCCCACCCCCAAAAAAAAAAATAATCCCTTCTAATAAAGCATGCAAATATTGGGAATGTCGGCCCACAAAATGATATGTGACATATACCCACAGAGAGAGGCCGATCCATCTCCTTAATCAAAAGAAACGTCTACGTCTAATCAACTCGAAATTAAAAAAAAAAATAATAATAGTAATAGTAACAATAGTAATAATAAATAAATAATACAGCGTTTAGTTTGCGAGAGGAACGTGTGAACATATGGGGGGCCGGCTGCGTGATCGATGACTCAGCTATATGCAATGCCTCTTCTGTTTCACCCTATAAATACGCCCTCGAGTTTCCTCTTCCTTGTCATCCCTCAAAGCTAAATCCATTCTATTAGTAAGAAAAAAAACATATTATTCTTTGCTTCTGTTTTGTAATTATTACAAGACAAGATGAAGAGTTTGTGTTTCGCTGCTCTTGTTCTCCTTCTCCTGCCTGCCCTTTCCTACTGCCAGTCGGGCAACACTCAGGCCACCGTTGACGGTTCTACATCAAGTACGTGTGTGTATATATATATATCGTAAATGCAAGTTTTATGTTTTCGAATCAAAAAACAGAGTTATGTTATATATATATTTTATAATACGTTTTCTGGAAAATAATAAACTTTTTTTTTATAAAATTTTGCAGTTCAGAAAGCATGCAAATATGGTCGATATGGGGTCGAAGCAAATGGCGGCAGAGTAACGGGTGTTAATGGTGCTCTCTGGCGTAACGGAGCTGGCTGTGGTGATTGCTATCAGGTTTATTTATACTCACTCAAAACTCCATGCAAAAGAAAAAAACACGAACTTTGTCGTCATGCACAATACTAATACTGTAATACACCATGTACATGCATGCATGCATGGACATTATATGTACGTAGGTGATATGCACGAACACGCAGCTGTGTAACAGCCAAGGCGTGACGGTGCTGGTAACGAACCAAGGCGGCAACGATTTCAACATGGCGCCAGCGGCGTTCCGTGCGATGGCTCGGCCAGGGTTGGAGGACCGGCTCGTGTCGGCTGGAATCGTAGGCGTCTCGTACCGGAGGGTGGCATGCCAATTCCCGGGCAGGAACGTCTTCGTCTGGCTCACCGACGACACCCGCCCTTCCCAGTACTTGTCCCTCACCTTGTTGAACGTTGGTGGTGTTAACGACATTTCCCGCATTCAAGTCATGGTAAAAATACAGTTTTAACTCTCGATTTTTTGAAATTCGAACCGTTCGAGCATATGGGTTATCCGAATTTTTCCGGTTTCTTGGTTACGAAAATGAAACATGACTTGTTTGGGGTTATAACAGGGTGCTGAGGGGAGATGGGTAACGCTGACGCAAGTGGTCGGTGAGGTGTATGCCACGTCGGACATACCGAGTGGATCGCTCTCGGTGAGGGTTATGTTCAGCGGAAGTTCCACGTGGCGTCAAGCCAACAACGTTATTCCTAGGGGATGGGGCCCAGACCAGAGCTACGACACCAACTTCCAAGTCAGCTAAAATACGACGTCGTAATTTGCTCCGGGCTGGCCAGAAGAATACCGATGATGTGGACCCTTTCTTTTGTTTGTGTGAAAATAAAGGCTTATATGTAAAATTATATTTGCCGCGTGAGACTCCGTGCCCCAATTCGATTGGGTGGCTTTGGAGTCTATAATAATAATAATTACTAAATGGTTGTATTTTAAATTGGATGAAGTTTGACTGAATAAAGTTCAGGCCGGCCTATTTGTGCTTTTGTCTATGCAAATTATCCAAAACCAGCATTTTCTTTTTGTTACAAGACGATATATAAATTTATAAATTTATATAAATTTGTTACAACTGCACTATTATCACCTCTATAACACCCTTCTTATTCAGCGGAAGTCTTCATCGAAAGAGTATATGGTGTTATAAAATGATAAACAAAAACCAGAGTATACGAAGGAATCATAAGATTTTTCCTCTTGATCGGCCGGAAAGCTGGTACAAGGCTCATGCCATGTTTTTCTAAGCCATCATTCATGATTTTCTTCCATGTTATTAACCCCCCCC